CTTTTTTCCCGCTTAAGCAAATTTTGTGCTCAAGCAGCTCTGTGAAATTGGCCCTAGTGCACAAATACTATCCTGACTATAAGACTAGTCTGAAAAGAAGAGTTAACACCCTCCATATTTTCCCTGCAAAATTAGACTGTCCAGGATATGTTATTACTTTCAGATTGTTAATGGGTCACTGCAGGGAATAATATACATGTAGTGGTGTCTTTTCGTGGAATTCTTTCCAAAGTTTCATCAGGGCTTGATGGCTCCAATGGGAAAGAGAAAGTGCAACATTCCATACATATGTACCGGTAGGCCCTACATGTATCTCCCGCATTGACCTCTGACCTCTGTCAGTGCATTAACCAAGGATGTTTTTAACGTGGGGCCTTTGTGTGTTATGCCTACAGAGAATCACCGCACACTTGTATGCAAAGAAACAGCCACCGTATGTTATCAACTTGGATCCAGCCGTACACGAAGTGAGCTTTCCAGCAAACATAGGTGAGTTTCTTATAAAAACACTCAAGAGAGGGAGAATGGGCGCTAAAAAGAGTGAAAACCACTCCAAAAGTGTGAACTTTCCACTCTTCAAAGGAGCGGTATGAGGGACATCTCGAACAAAGAGTTGTCCTTTATGTGAGTCCTCTTTTAGACTGGTGTTCACTCGTTTGGAGTGGCTTTGAAAGAGACGCGCTCTTTTGGAGTGTGAGATTTTTGCCTTGAGAGACTTTCAAACTGACATACAGGGTACTTGTACCTTATTGGAAGTTAGTGTCCTGATTGATTGGCAACAGAAAAAGAATAAAGTCTCCCAAACCTGTAATTACATACTTTCAGTGCGAGTGTATAACGTTTTAAGCACACTGTATGCACACACACACACAAATATTTTCCCTTCCAGTTATCCTACCTGTGCCAGACGCAGCAAAGTGCATCAGGAGAAAAAGTCTGATTCACTTTGATGCACTGGGCAATCAACGACAGTCATAGCAAACTAGCCATGTTGAGATAATGGGAGATACAATCCTGGACAAAACGGTTGGGACGCTTGGCAATAGACCCAGCATAGAAAGGGGGTCTGGGGGTTGGAGGCGTATCCTTGCAAGATGTGTCCAGCATTGTACATGTACTCTCATTGAACTATGCCACTGG